ATTTCCAAATATAAATTTGAAAAGCCAACTACTATTAATTCTAAGAAAAAATCTATTTAGTATTTAATAAAGCTTCAAGGATTTCCCACTAGATAAATTAGCTATAAATAATAATATAAATGTAGGCTTGCAAATTAAATGTTTTTACTTTACAAATGGATAGGAACAGAACAGGTCATAGCTTTCTCAGATTAGTTCTCTTCTGAGGCGAAGGAAGAGCAGAAGCTGAGTAAAGAGCCTGATGAATTGGAGTTCTCCATCCCCATCGTCTGAAAGCCTGGACATGGCTTCCAAGCTTGCAAGAGCATCAGAACCACTGTATTAAGATTCAAACTGCCAAATTGTTTGGAAGAGCACTTTGGAAATAGTGGTTTACTTGGGAATAGATTATTACTATACTGCATTTCTGCAACCAACTTTAGGATGTTACCAATTTAAAAAGGGGCCAGAAGCTCCCAGTATAAAAGTCTTGTCTGAGAGCAAACAAATACTGAAACCTATTCTGGACAGCCTCTGCTTCAATTCTAAGCCTCACTTGACATCCTGGAAACCCTGACATGTGTTTGGATCTGACAATGCTTTGCTGCTCACCCCTCTGAATTTTGGCTGCCAATAATGAATCCTTTGCTTGACTTCTCTACTGGATCTTGATCATGCTTTTGCATACAACTCTGCTGTATGTGTTCTTGGCTGGTTTTTGATACCAGCCTGAACCCAGTGAAATTTATCAAAGTTTTTATCTTGCTTCACAAGGGTTGAAATGATTCAGGACTTCTGTTATTAGAAGCTAAATGCAAAGTTAACAGTGAAAATAATGCAGTAATGAAAATTCTGATAATATTCAATTTGCAGTCTTTTGTTGAAACTTTAAGTATAACTTAAGCATAAACAACAGCTATTCAGCAAACCAGGAGATGTGCCTTCTCTGCTGTAACCCGTCCTTTGGAACATCCTCTCTTCAGAGATTAGGATGGCCCCGACCATGTTGGCCTTTCGTAAGGGTTTAAAGACCTGGCTATGTGCCTGGGCCCCAAATGGATTAAGGGCCCTGTCTCCTGGCTATACTGATAATTATTATGATAATTTTCTCGGCTGCCATGCTATTTATTTTTGCATTGTTTTTAATTGTTTGCCACCCAGAGTCACTTGGCTGAGATGGGCGGCTATAGAAATTAAATAAATAAATAAATAACCATTAAGAAGTCAAGTTTTAAAGCATAATGTAACTATTAATTCTGAAATGTATCAAGTATGGAATGTCATAAATATCCTGCTTTGATTATGAAACTTCTGTTTTCATATGCAAAACTGGAGTCCTTCAACATTCTAGGAACTTCACATCAAGATAACCAAATCTAGAATATTGGAAGTTTGGGGAAACTTGGACTGATCTGAGGACAAACTGGGAGTTTAGGAGAGAAGAGAGGAAAGGGAACATCCATTGTGGGTTGAAGGCCACTCATAATACTGGAAAGAGACCATCAATTCATGTTAGTATAGCTTTGATTTATATCACATTTTTCCTTGTCTTCTTTCTTTCTTTTTATTTGAAGGCACATTTTTGCCTCTATGATGTTTGAACATCTTGAGTTCTATATAAGGTTAGGGTACAATGTCTGCTATGCATCAGATAAGAAAATATTCAGTAGAGCTCTCTATCTGCACTGAAATGCTCACCAAATGACCAATAATGAAAAAACAGAGTAACCTCTGTATGCAGAGGTTAAAAGATTTATATGGCTACCCATCTTCAGGAACACAACTCTGGGCAGTTAACAACAATAATAAAATATAGATACTAATAAAAAAAAATAAAAACCAAGAAAAACTGGTGTCTAATCCATCATTAGCATCCATTCATCTATGCAATCCCTGGGCGCCAACCTTATGATCCCAACACCAGCTATTTACAGCTTTACAGATGATTAAGAGGGCAAGGGCCTGCTGAATCTCAAGGGGAAGAGTGTTCCACAGGGCAGGGGGTGCTATGGAAAAGGCATGCTTCTGAGTTCCCACAAGATGGCACTGTTTAAGGGAAGGGACCTGAAGCATGTCCACAATATCTGATCAGGTGGTAGATACCCTCAGGGAATGGCAGTCCTGAAATTAACCTGGCCCTGTGCCATGTAGGGCTTTAAAGGTGATATCCAGCATCTTGAATTGTACCCAGAAAAAAAAATGGAGCCAGTGCAGCTCGCACATCTATGGTGTAACATGAACAAACTGAGGAGTGTTGAGCACTGTGTGAGGTGCCACGTTTTGGACCAGCTGTAACTTCCGGGTGGTCTTCAAGGACAGCCCCATGTACAGTGCATTGCAATAGCCCACCAGGAAATGACCAAGGCATGAGTGACTGTGAACAAGCCCTCCTAGTCCAGAAAAGGGTGCAGTTGGTGCACAAGACATATCTATGCAAAGGCCCTCTAGCCACAGCTGCCACCTGCTCCCCAAGCAGGAGCTGTGAGTCCCAAAGACACTGTCTGGGGAAGTGTTACCTCACTGAGTGTCAAAGATAACACCTCACCAGATCCAGAGGGACCAAAAACCCAAAACCACTCTGTCTTGCTAGGGTTGAGCTGGAGCTGGTTCCTTCCCATCCAGACCCTCAGAACATCCAGGCAGTGGGTCAGGTGAAATGGCATCACCTGCCCAGCTAGGGGTGATATATTACTGAGTACCATCAGTATACACCCGTGCCATTGGATGACTTCACCCAGAGATTTTATGTAGATGAAGGAGTGGTGAGAGACCTGAACCCTGAGACACCCCAGATTGTAGGTGCCTAGGGCTAGACCTCTACCTCCCCACCAACTGACTGGTACTGGCCATGGAGAAAGGAGGAGAACCACTGCGAAACAGTGCCTCCTATTCCCAATACCTGCAGCCAGTCCAGAAGGATACCATGGTTGATAGTACTGAAAGCTGCCAAGAGATCCAGGAGGATCAGGACAATTGCAATACCTCCATCCTGAGGTCTCCATAGATGTAGTGAAGGAATAACCCTGAGGAACAGGAGGAAGAACCACAACCAAGACAAAGGTCAGATAAAAGATATCTGAGTCTGGCGCAGAAATGTAATTTGAAAAAGCATCTCAGACATGACCCTCCCTAGTTCTCATGAAGATAAAGGGAGGAACAGGATGCACATTCAGACTTGCAATATTCTGTTACTATAAGCTTGTAATAAAAGTAGCATTAGTGTGCATGTTTTTTGGTTTCCAAGTTTGGTCTACCTTAGAGGACTGACAATAGGACATCCTCAAGTGTGACCAATGCCATCTCTGTATTATAACTGAGACTGAACCCAAACTGAAAAGGGTCAAGGTAATCCACTTCATCCAGAGCTCTTGGCAGCTTGAAGCCAACCACCCTCAACAACCTTCCCCAGAAAGAGAAGGCTGGAGATAGGATGAAATTTATTTATTTATTTGAAATTTATATGCTGTCCATCTCCCAGCAACTCTTATCCAACACAGTCAGGTCCAAGGATGGCCTCTTGAGAAGGGAGTGCACCACCACCTCCTTTAAGGTTGGCAAAACTATCGCCTCCCGCAAAGATGCATTAACCACTGCTTGGACCAAAGCACATGACACCTCCCAAGATGCTTTGATCAACTAGGAGGGGCATGGGTCCAGAACCCAGGTGGACAAGCTCAAAGCTGCAAGGACCCTGTCTACTTCCTCAGGATCAGTTGGCTCAAATTCCTCCCAGAAGTGTCTTGGTCACTTCCAAAGGACCTGCCCAGCCAGTGTCCAACTCTAGGCGAAGTCAACTGACTTTGTCTGCTGAGAATATTCTTCACAGTGGCTCTGCAAGGGTTCCCCTAGCTTTTCCTTCCCCAGGAGGGACAGGTCACCTGAAACTGGGCTGCTGGCTAGCTATCTGTAGATCTGATAAGAGCGGAGAAGTACATTTGCCACCCTTACCACCACAAGGTACATCCTAATAAAGGCTCTTATCTGTGCTCAGTCGGATTTGCTTTTCATCTTTTACCAACGGTGTTCTAGGCATCTCTTGTGTCGCTCTATCTCTGTGAACAAAGAGAGTCTGTACTGGTGTGATCCGATCCAGGCCCCTGTTGCATACTCATTCCAAACGATGGCCAAGGCCTCAGCCAAACTCCTGTACCAGAGCTTTGGGGAAAAAAACCCAAGCTCCTTCTGAAACCCAATTCGATCCATCAGTTGCCTGGGGCCGGCCAATTGAACAGGCCCCACCTCAGTTGGGGGGTTGGTTTGGCCTGGAGACCTCCAGAGACATGGAACAGTCATGGATGGATATAATTATCAATTCCAAACTAAGTACACAATCAAGATTAATCAAGGATCCTCACTCAAGAATGCATTCACTACCACATTCAACTACATGTCACCTCCTGGGTGGCCATGACCAGCAAAAAGGGACATGGATCTATTGCACAGGTGGACACACTAAAATAGCTCTGAGAACCCTATCGATTTTTTCAAGTGTCACTGGATCAAATTCCTACATAACAGACCCAGACCTTGTCCTAAACACCTCAAGAGGGACTCTACCCAGCCAGAATCCAACTCTGATCCAAGGCTGTCATCACCCATTTATTCTAGGTCTTACTATTCATGTCTATGAAGTTTGGCAAGGAAGCACAAAAGTGTAACTTTTAACATGCTGAATGTTTCAAACTAGAAATGAAGCACATGTTCAAGTACGAATTTAAGGAAAATGTGAATGAATTTTGTTGAATCACACAAAGGAAGCAAGTGGCAGATATTTTTCAATTAACTATCTTATATTTTTAGAAGTGTCCATTCATCTGATACTTTTTTAGCATTCACAATGCATCTAAAATATAACAGAAATAACGAACATATTTTATACAAAATTTCTAGGGAAAAAGAACTGCTGACTCCTATAAAAACATGACTTCAACATGCATTTTTAAGACCACAGTCAATATTTTCAAAACTTTTAATTATACTCAAACAGCTGGCAGCATAATTGACTCAAAGCCTCAGATTACCTTGATTGCTGTGTCATTATCTCTAATCAGCTGCTGCTTCTCATCTTTAAACTTTTGTAAAACATCTTGCAGACGCCTTTCTCCAGCAAGCTGCTGCTGGTTCCTTTCCTCTGTCAGAGAGGAAATGGTTGTCTTAAGTTCAGCTATGATCTAAAAAGAAAACAGCATGCTAAAACTATTGCAACAGTAAGAAGTTATATATTTTGCATGTATTTATGGTTGACACAAGAATTTGAGTTGGCAAACTCAACTGTGAAAACTAAATAGCTTAAATTAACATATTACATGCCAGCAAGCAGAAAATTCTACAGAGAGAAAAGAAACATTGAGTTTGGAATAACATAAACTGCTAACACTAACATTTAAGAGAGAATTTTCCACTATGAAAGTCCCTCAATAATCTACATACCAGAACAAAGCACACTTGTTATGTGAAAAACAGCAAATATAGGATTCCAATTTTCCACTTTACTGTAATGGTTTGAAAACTGATAGTTTGAAATGCTTCTGCACACATACTAGGAAATGTAGCAGAGAGAACATTCTGAATTAACCACCAAAGAATTAAATAAAAAATTATCTTATCTTACATTATACTATATTATAGTATAACCAGTTTGCCTTTTTGTGCATGAGACACAGTAATTTTTAATACATTCATTTAGCCATTTACAAGGGAGTCTACCCCATTATTCTCTTTTACCTGTTCTGCACTACATAGTGTATTTTAGCACTGCTCTAAAGAAGCATTCATTTCAGTCTCTGCATTACATCTGTGGTGGGTGTTATTTCCTTGCCAAACCATCACTGGGAACTTTCTACAGCTGAGATTCTTTTCTTGAGGGTGGGGAAGGAAATGTGGTTTATTTGGTCAGAAGTGGATAATCTGAGAGATTAATGAATACCCTTTGAAATCTTGTTGCCACCATCCCAAAATGATAAATTGAGTTTTATTGTAAGATTATCTTCTTTCTAACTGTTGTTTTTCTGGAAGGGTCAATGTAGGGGATTATACTCTGTACTCTTTACTCAGGAGATCAATTAATTATGAATGATTAAAACATTATTTAACAGTAAACACTTTAGCCAGATTATTATTAATAATAATAAATTATTTATTGAATTTATATGCTGCTTGACTCCCAGCAACTCTATGTAGATGAATTGCAGCATGTTAACTATTTTCAATTTAGAACCAGTACATCTCAGTGTATATTAGTTTGGAGAATTTTTGATCCTCTGACAGCCTTTCTCTGAACTAGCAAGGAAGCAGGTCTCTTCACTGTTAACAGATAGTCCATAGTTGGATTTAAACCAAAACATTATTTATTATGCGTGCACACACATACAGTAAAAGTAGAAAAAGATCAAAGAAAAAGTAGAAAAAGTAAAAAGTAAAAGTAGAAAAAAAAAAGAAAAAAAATTAATATAATCATAAGGAAAAACAGATGGTACATATATAAGGAAAAAGAACCCAAAGTTACATGTAGATCCTGCTTGGATAAAAGCAGCAGCAAATAAAAGCTGTGCTCTTTACCAGAGAATGTTTTTCAGGACAGAGTAGATAAAAGTCATATGGAATTCCTTGTAGATCAGTGTTCTTCAAACATGGCATCTTTAAGATGTGTGAACTTCAATTCGCTGGCTGGGGAAGCCTGGGAGTTGAAGTCCACGCATCTTAAAGTTGCCAAGTTTGAAAAACACTGTTGTAGAGAAAGCAGAAAAGGAAATATGACTCAGGAACTAAGTCATCCTCATAGGGGCATACATGCTGGTTTAAAAGGGTATTTTTGTAATACCCTAGGCAAAACAGCAGAGGGTAATGCATCCAACCTGGCCAAAGTAGAGGCTGATCAAAAATACAGAATTGTGATGAGGACAAGTAAGAAGCTAGCACGTACCCTTTTAGGAAAATCATACAAGTTGTAAGGATGGGAACCAGACTTAGACTGATTTAAAGATCAGTGTCCTGGATATGCTGTTTAAGAACACTTCTGGCATTTCAAAAGCCTAGTTCCTAGTTGCTGCTGTTATTATTTTATCCCTTTTTATATTTGGTCAACCCAAGGTGGTGAACATACCTAATATTTCTGCTTCCTATTTTCCCCACAACATCAACCCTGTGAGGTGGGTTGGGCTGAGAGAGAGTGAATGGCCCAAAGTCACCCAGCCAGTTTTCATGGCTAAGGGAGGCCTAGAACTCAGTCCCCTGGTTTCTAGGCCAGCACCTTAACTACTACACCAAACTAGCTCTTTAGTCCTTAGGGAATGGAGCTTGGTAATAGTGTCTTTTAACCAAGCTGATTTAAAGTGGCCCCTGAAATCAATGGGGCCAAACCCACTGGAAAGAAAATTAACTTCAGCCAGAGATTAAAGAGATCGTACCAAGTCCTAACATCCATGGGGACCAAGCCCATCTCTAAATGTACAGCACTGTTCTTAATACATTTTGGAACTGAAGGAAAAGCTTTGATAAAGTTACATAAAACAACGTCAAGGATGTCAAGCTTTGTAAAAGTAGATTTGAACACCATAGAGGAGCTGAGAAATTACTTTGGCTATGAAGACCTTGCAAGTTGTGGAGATTGTTGGGATTGTGAAATGTTATTACAAAAAACATGAGGAGGAGAGAGGATTCATTCCTACCTTGTGGAGAGCCATGAGGAGAAGAGAATGAGGGAAACAGGAAAAAAGGTGGGCTCCAAGCCCTACCTACACAAAGCAGCAAAGCTAGACCACAGCGGAGCTGCCCCTCCCTTTGTGCTTGTGCGAGACAGGCTTGGTTGAAACCCCATATTTTCCATCACCTCTCCTTTTCAACCTTGCCTATCTCCCTGTCCCACAATATTTAATTTTTCTCTTAATTTCTGACAACTGGATCTTGACAACTGCTTCATGAAGATGTCTGCTGTCATGTTTCCTGTGGGATAGTAGTCTAGTTTGATTAACCC